TTTGATTTCCCTGCAAAGTGAAAATGGATTAATATTAATTTTTAAAACCTTACACAGAACTTGTGTTGTGGGGGATGAGAATGAAGACAAAATAGGTGTTAAGGACCCAGTATAGGGCTGGGCACATAGCAGGTATGCAGTAAATGCTTGTAGGACCTGGGTGTTAGTCTTGCACAATGGGTGTCCTATGCCCAATGGTCTTTGGGAAACTGTAGAGAAGCCCAGCCATCTGTTTCCTGTCTAAGTACTTGATGTTTCTTGCTGGTGCATCAAGAAATGCTGACCTCTTGTACTTTGAGTTCTCAGCCCCAGCTCTGGCAGAATCTCAAAGCAGATGTCTGAGTTCATTGTCAATGTAATTTACATGTGCATGTGGGGCTGCCTTGGGTTAGACTCTGACCATGGATCAGAAGAGCCTGAAGTGCTAGACCCTGGGTTTATCTTGAAAAATGTCAACACTGATTCTCCTGCCCAATAGCTTCTTCACACACACACAACCACACCCTCTCACAAACACAAAACTAGATCATGATCCACAGAATGTGAACCCAAGGAGGGGCCACAGGCTCCTTCTTTCAGTCCCAGCACATGGAGCCTGGAGAAGGACAGGCACTGTGACAGTCCAAACCACGCAACAGGGCAAAATGCCTCAGGCCTCTTCTCTTCCTGCGGCTACTCTAAAGCATGCTGGGCACAGTTCAGTAAAACTATTGTGTATTTTGATGAACTCAGACCTGGAGCTTTAAAAAATGGCAGCTTCCATCCATGTGCTGGGTCCATAACCAGCTCTAAGCAGAAGGGAGGAACCTTTAAACATACTTTGTTCACACCTTCTGAATCCATGGGTGTTCTCATGTCTGTAAGTGATTCTGTTCTGTTTTTCATGAAACATTAAGTCTTCAAAGCTAAGTTTTGCTTTCCCCACTTTGGAAAGAAATGTGAATTCAAGAAACATTTTACTACTCTTCTAACTCTATGAAGGAGAATAGAGAAAGTAATCTATAAAATGGTGAAGTTTCATCTACAATGCCCATGTGCCCTACTGCTAGAGTAACAGCCTGCATTGACCCAGAACTTGCTATGTACCAGGCACTGTGCTGCACCCTTGTGCTCTCCCAAGAGCCTCTCAAAATGAGCATGAATGCTGTGCTCATTTTAAGATGGAAAAATTGAGATGCAGAAAATTGAAGCAACTTTTGCAAATTTACCTAGTCAGTGGGTGGCAGAGTCTGTAACTGGACTGTGTTTCAAAGTTCTTAACATAGCTAAATTTACTATCTAAGAAAGGAAGAGTTTAGAAGGCAGTTAGGGCTGGGCAGGGGACAGAGAGGAGCTGAATCACAAAACAGCCAGGGTTGGTTGAACTTTTGTGAGTGCCGCAAGTTTTTAGAGCCCATTTTTCTGACTTAGGCACTCCTGCCCCATTCAGAAGGCTCCTAAGTTGCTCATCCTTCCTGGGATAGGAGAAGTGATGATTTTGGAAGCTACAGATGGAGCACCAGATGGGAAGTGAAAACCTATCAGAGTTGCCCAGGATAAAATCATTCATCTGCAAAATTCATATGTTTTTGTGTGGGGCGACTTCACGAAAACAACAGCAAGAGGAACCAGCAGTGCTTGATGCAGAAAATGCCTCTGGCCATGAGGCTGGCAGGGCAGAGTGGGCAGAAGCATCGCATGGGGAGCATGTGCACCATGACAATGAGGGCAGGGAGGAGAGGAAGAGCAGGCTAGGCCCGCAGCCACCATGTCACCTGGAGAGAGAAAGCCAAACGAGTTATAGATATTATAACTTTCTTCTGTGACCTCCAGAATAAGGTGGCCACCTGAACTGAAAGGATTTCTGGGACCTTCAAGTAGATACCACATGCAACCTTGGAAGTAGTAAGCAGTTGATATTTCTGGAGCACTTTCCAGGTGCCTACGTGGCACACTGTCCCATTCCAGTGTCACAGGATGGCATGCACTTGCCAATGATCTCACTGTTGATTAGGAAGCAGAACTCACATTTGAACCTTACGCAGTCTGGTAGGAGTTTGAGGGTTCACTTTCTTGGGTTCTCCACAAAGCAGGATCTAGTTGAAGTGTCAATCTTACGATTTCAATTTGCAAACAATGCAACACAAGGCCTCTAGGGGGCAGCAGTACACACTGCAGCGTGGGCTTAAAATTTTGGCCCAAGTACTGCCACCTGCCCAAAGCAGACATAACCTCTGAGGCCTCCATGGCGTCTGGAGAAGGAAGAGTACAAGGCTCATGCACACAGCTCCTCAGACTTAGGCACAATAGGTGACCTCTAGGTACCCTCCCTTGATATTCTCTGCTGTAGGATTGGTCTAACCACTCTGTTGCTCCATCATAAGCTCAAGGATCTGAACTACGTCCTTCTGTGTCTGGAAGGCAGTTGAAACTGCTGGTTTCCCAAGAGGCAAATTTCAAGGAGGAATGCTACCAACTTTGGAATCATGTAGAACTGATCTTATCCCTGTTCTCCCATGCATACGTCACATGGCCTTTGGGCTTCAATTTGTCCATCTGTAAAAACAGGTTTGCTGTGAGGAATGAAGCAAGTTCCAACCACATTAACTGCAGTACACAGCATTTCAGGGGGCATTTATGATCTCAATCCTTTCCTGGAAGATTAAAAGAGAATGTTCTGGCTCCCTTTTGCCATTTACTTGCTTAAATGGCTATTTCCTTGTCACTTAGCCTCAATCTTTTGTTTATTATAATCTATTAAAAAATCAAATCTCAAGTGTAACAAGTTTATATCTCACCCATCTTAAACCTAGAGTGTTCTCTCTACCAGAAAAGATGGCTTTCAACTCGAGGTAATTTGGAACTCAGGGGAGATTTGGCAATGTTTGTAGATGTGTGCAGGTAGGGTATGCAGTTGGCATCCAGCAGGCAGCAGCCAGGGATGCTGCTAAACACCCTGCAATACACATGACAGCTCCATAGTAAGGAATTACCCAGCTCCAAGCACCAACAGTACATGGCTGGGAAATCCTGGTATAGAATGATCTCTTTCATGTTTTCCTGCCAATCAATTCCTTCTCTGCAGGTCTCAACTCAAAGTTGAATATTCCAAGGCCTTCTGAGCTGCTTACATCCCTCTGACTTTTCTCCAGTGATATGTCTTCCATTTTTTCTAGCCCTTGAACATCTTGCCTGATGTCATCCTCGCACCATTATCTAATGTCCTCTTCCTCACTAGGATATGTGCTCTGTGAGACAGGCAGGAAGTACAAGCTGCTTTTGTTCACTAGATGCCCAAGTGTTATGGAGCATGATAGTTATTTAATAAATGTGTGCTGAATAAATAAAAAGCCATGGTTAAGTAAAAACCTACCAGCAATGTTTACAAAAACTCCCTTTTATCCCCCTTAGACAATGAACAGAAGGAAACAGGAGTCTTTCTGTGGCCTGTCATTTTTCTTAGGTTCCAGGGAGCCAGGTGTATCTTGTCCAACGTGACCAGAGATTGTGCCTCCCCTTAAACTCCCAAAAGTACCAGTGTTTCCCAGAAGATTACCAGGATGCAGAAAGGTTCCAAGGACCACTCTATAAAGGAGAAAGCATATATAGAGACCTTCCTTCATGTGTGTATCTTATCTGGATCTTGACTCAAAACTCAAATTCTTAGAAAACTGAGACTTGGATATTTGAGGGCTTTAAAAAAGCCTGCTAACATAGTGGATGTGACCATCATAGTGATGGCATGCTAAGAGAGAGACCTTCTGTGAGACACATCCACTGAAACATTTACAGATCAAATTGGATGATGTCTTGGATTTGTTTAAGAACAATCCAGGGGGAGAGGGTAAGAGGTTAGCGGCAACAACGCTGGTCAGAAATTGATCAGAGCTGAGATTGGGTGATATGCATAAATACGCTTGCTGCTTTTGTGTGTGTGAAAATTCTTCCAAGGAGAGTTTTTTAAAAAGATATTTTTATCTAGTTTTCCTGGGAATGCTATACTAAATGCCCTTATGCTACCATGGGAGAGAATCTCCCTTCCATCTATTTCCTTTGCAGCCAGCCAATAACAGGGAGGAACACATAGTCCAACCAAGAGCTGCCTCTGTGATATGAAGTTTGGCTCATTTTCTTGTGTTTTTCTTTCTTTTCTTGCAAGATCCCTGGATGGTTTCTTTGCTTATGGTTTCCTTTAAGGAGCAAATAGATGTTTCTATCCTTCCTGGTGGTATCAGTACCTACAGATTCTTGTGTCCTCAACAGTACCCACACAGGCTATAGTCCCAGAGTGTGGCTATCTTCCAAAAAATCAGAAATCTACCATTTTATATGAACTCTCCAAGTTTCATAATGTGGGCAGCCTGTTCATTTGTTAAAGTTTTATGAGGGTCAAACTAACCCACCGCAGACCTCAAACAGTCCAAAGACGCCCATTTGTGATCCTTCCTAGACTTATTACTGAGCTCCCTTCTCTCTGTCCTCTTTGAATTTAATTCCAAGGTCAGATCTAGTTCTTTCTCTGATCAAAACACCTGAGTGGCTTATACCTTGTTTCGAGTAATGGTAAATTCCAGAGTCCTCTTATATGATCCCAATTTATCCTCTGATCTTACATAGTATTTTGCTACCTTGCTCTTTATCTTACTCTGCTGTAGACATTCTGAGCCCACACATCCCATTTACTTATTATGTCCATTTTTTGTTGCGATTTCAGTCTCTCTAGTGTACTAGTACATCCTCAAATGCAGCTGGGAGAACACTGTGTTCAGGAAGTATCTGCTGAGCAAGTAGATGGATGGATGGATGGATGGATACATAAGTGATTCCTAGAATCAGTCTGAACACAATGCTGGGAAATCTTCTGGAGAAAGTGTGTAAGTCCTCTCTGGTATCTCACCAAGGCAGAGAGTTTATATGGACAGGAAGCTGACTGTACCTTCTAATGTCCACTTACCATACAGATAGTAAGCGCAAAACAGTATATATGGGACCAGGCAGGCCTGGGGCCATTGTTGCCTTACCTGATAGGATAGTCTGCAGCACTGAGGTTGATGAAAAAGTCCCAGGGCCAGTCAGTCATCTCCAGGAGGTCTTGCATGCTCTGTAGGTAGGTGGACAGGAGGCTTGCTCCCCCCCAGATGGTGGCCATCCTCCAGGGGGTGACGCGGACATTGCTGTACTGCCTGGCGAACTGGAGCACTTGCCGGTGCAGGTAATTAGAGCGCTTTTCCCGGGAGAAAAAGGGTGACATTCAGCAGCCCAGAAACATCAGCCGCCAGACAACTCTCAGCCTTTCCCTTCCCTGTCCCTTCCCTTCCAGCTGACAGCATGGATGAATATGGTGAGTTTGCCAAATTACTGATTCTGGCCTAGGTGTCTTTCCTGCTCACTATTTGAACTTATTCTTTTTGAAGTCTGAGAGGTAGATCCCTTCACCCCATTTCTCTACCAACAGCTTATTACACACTGATGCATATAGTCTAAGGATAAGAAGCTAGGAAATATGCGTCCACCTAAACCTGAGTGTTTGGGAGTAGAATTTCTCTTCCCTGTCCTTCCTACTCAGAGCCCCTCTATTACCATCACAGCCCTCTAGAAGCAGGTCTTTCTCATGAAACATTCCTTTTGCATCCTTTGTAAAGGTGTAATCATGTAATTTCAGGTGAACAAAAGAAAACCATGAAACAGGACAGTACAGGGCTCAGCAAGTTGGCTGCAGTTTTGTTAATAAAGTTTTATTTGGCACATAAGCATATGCACTTGTTGACATGCTTTCTGTTACTGATTTCACACTACAAGGACAGTGCTGCATAACTGTGACAGATTGTGTGGCTGGCAGAGCCTAAAGTACTGACTATCTGAACTTTGATAGAAAAAAGTGGGCCCACTCCCGGGACAGCCAGCTCTACAGAGCCGGTGAGAGCCAGGCAGAGGGCACCAGGAAGTGAGGAGATGACGAAAGAAAACAAAACAGTTTAAAAGCAAAAATAAGGTTTGCAGAGAGGGCGACAAAGGCTAACAATAATGAAATGAATATTTCAAAACACACTCGAAGAGGATTGTGAATGATCACACCACAAAGAAATGGTAGACTTTTAAGGCAATGGTTATGCCAATTACCTTGAACTGATAATTACACCACATATACATGCATCAAAATATAATACTGAGTCCCTAAAAAGGTATATTATTGCTCCATATTAAGCAAGAATAAAAAGGAAAAAAAATAATTTTACAAAAAAAGTTAAATCTGGAATCTTTGAAAGCAACACACACACACACACACAGACACACACACACACACACACACACACACACACACACACACACACAAAACACTTTAAGATCGTATGACCTCAGAGCCTTAGCCTGTTCTTGGTTTGGAGAGACCAGAGAAGGACAGACAGGTGACAGAGGAAGTCCATCCTGGGTGATGGGAGGTGGCTCCTCACCTTGTCCACGTGGATATAGTAGAAGTGGTCTTTGTGGTAGATGGCCTTGAACATGCGCTGCAGCTGCCGAGAGGCACGGCCGTGGACCACCAGGACGAAGGCGATTCGGACCGGGTTGGCTGGCATGTACTCCACAGAGTCCTCATCCCACTGAACATTCTTGTTGGCTTTTCCTGGGGGAACCCGAGACCACAGAGGTGAGGGTGAGGCTTGGTGGTCCTTTAGGGGTTGGTGAGTTTCTCTGACATTTCTTGTATAGTCCCACAGGACTATACAAGGGGCACAGCAATCAGATGGGATCTGAACTTGACTCAACACAACCAAGCGTGTCCCAGACCCTTACCCCATGAAGCACAAAGGGGTAGAGGACCCCGGGGTGCCTGTGACACAGCTTTCATCTCCAAGGAGCTTACACAGGCTGATGGAGACATGTGGCCATATATGAAACTATGGAACATGGCAGGAAGAGAGAACTCTGAGAGATGGGGTTCTGAACCACAGAGGAAGCTGTAGTTAACGCTGAGGTAGGAAATCTAAGATACACATTTTGTCTCTCCAGAATCCATTCTCCCTTCTTCTCCTAATAGCATCCACTATCTTTGCTTGTTGTTTGCTTTAATTTGTGGTGAGAACAGATGACGTGATGTCTACCATCTTAGCACATTTTAAGTGTACAGTACAGCACAGTGTTATTAACTAGAAGCGCACTGTTTCACAGCAGGTACCTGGAGCACGTGCATCTGCAAACTTGATTACCAATACTCTCTGAGACCACCCCCACATAGGGATGCACCTATAGGGACGAGGAAGATTAACTTAGTGATGAATCCAGGGTTGTCCTGTAGCTCAGGACTGCCCATCAGAACTCTGCATGGCCCTGGCTACAGTATTGTTCTGATGTATGTGTACTCAACCATGCACATTAGCCACTGAGAGATTCCGTACTTCTGATGGAACTATTAGATAGGGAGGTTCTCTTGCTGGATTTCAAACCTGAGAATTCCAAGAGCCTTTTTGTTCCCACATGGAGGGAAATTGTAGGGAAAAACCCAACACAGAGGAAACATTGTCATGTGTTGGCAAATGTCCAAGTCCTAACAACTGGCCCTGAGTTCCTCGATCAGCCACTGTCACGGGTTATCGTATGCTGTTTTTCTTTTAAAAACAGATTGTACTCCAGATCCACCAGGATAAAGGTTTTCATACATCCTTTATTCTGAAATCTGTCTTAAGATGACTCCTCACCTCCTTTCCTTTGCAAATCATCCAGGAGCAATGGCTTAGGAAAAAAAAGCTTCCTGCCTTAGTGTGTTACAATTCTAGCTCAAAATCTCCTGAATTTCCTAAGTCAGATTTCCTTTGGATGTAATCAGATTTCTGGGGTCTTGGCTTATGGCACCCAGAATATTTTCAAGGTATTTCTTCCAGGTGCTCCAGGATATCAACTGGGAATTCTGGGAAGGCAGACCTTTTCCCCTGGCAGGGAGGAGTTCAGGAGCCTGTCAGTGCCATCAGAAAGCTGAATGGCTGCCAAATGAACAAGACTCTTTCACTGTTCCAGAGGACAGAGTGAGATCAACGTGGGTAAGAGGAACTCTTTACTTTGCCACATCCCTTTCTTGCTTTTCTTTACACAAAGCTCATCCTGCCTCTGTACCTTTCCATGGGCTATTCTTGCTACTTGGTCTACCCGCTCCCCAGATCTTTACATGGCTACATCTTCTTGTCACCAGTTCACAACCCAGAAAAAGGACAACTGTCCCCATCTTCCACGTCTTTCACCCACCCTATTTCAATTTTCTGCATAGCACTGAACACCATCTGAAATTGTTTATCTGTTTATTGTCTGAATGCTCCAGTAGAGCATAAGCTCTAAGAGATGAGGGACTATTTCAGGCTTGTTTACCACTGCATATGTAACGTTAGAACAGTATCTGGTGCACATCTGGTTCTTGATGAAAAAATGTTACAGACAGTACGCACTGGCTCAGTACAACACAGTATCTTCTCTGTCCTTGATATTCATTATCTCATTAAGCCTCATATAACTCCTTCAAAGTATTACATTATCCCATTTTTCAAATAAGGATACCATAGATTAAAGAAGCCAAGGGATTTGTTCAAGGTCACACTGTTTAATTAAACTAAGATTCAAACTCAGGCCTTAATCCAAAGTTCACACTCTTACCCACTAACATAACCCATGTCATCATACTCATGACTTGGAGGGAGAAGTTTACCACACTGATGAATATTAGTGGAATACTTAGTGAAGGTAAGAAGGCATAGGTTGAAGGGATATTTCTATATTTGATGGGAGGCTAACTCTAGGGAGTCCATAAATTACCTCCATCTATCCATTCATCCATTCATATCAAACCATCCATATCCAACCATCCATTCATCCATTCATCCATGCATCCTTTCACCATGTATCCATTTAGCCAAATGCAACCACCCATCCCTTCAATCACAGCAAACCATTCAACTACCCATCCAACAAAACATCCAATAACCAATCACGACAAGTATCACCTATCCATTCAAAATTTCTGAGATCAACTCTTGCTTTGCTTTCAGGCTATGGATGTCTCTGGCCATAGCTGCTGAATGAGTGAGTGAATGGGTGAACGACTGAATATATCTAGAAGACTGGCTGTTCTGGTCGAGAGGTGTTGACATTTCCTGAGAGCCTGCTGTATATCAGCAGTGGTATGGAGCTCTGCACCTCTCATTATTTGGCTCTGGAAAAAAATGTGTTATCATCTTCAAGGCCCAAAGATGTTGACATGTCAAACACTGAGGACAGAGGTGAAGCAGAAGCCAAGCAGCACCAAGTCCAAAGCCACTCTGCTATTTCCACTTGTCTTGGCTTAAACAGAGAGTTAGAAGGCAGGACTGGAGTAGGGACTCTGCACTGTTCTCCATTGAGATGTGGAGACTGATATGGAAAAAAGCATTTTGTGGATTCTCTTTAGGGTCTTAAAGCAGATTTACAGACAGAGACATGGATGCTTTTCTTTTAGAGAAAGGGAGAGAGAGAAGGTTAAGAAGTCAAAGACAAGCACTCCAGCAAAACAGCTTCTTTGATTTACACAGTCATTCCTGACCAGATGATTGGTATAGGAAGCTGGAAAGAAAGTGGAATGAGAATGCCAGATTTCTTCTGCAGTAGAGCTGCTGTCAGGAAGGCATGGGTGGGAAGGAGCAAACACATCTTCAAAAGGAGACACATGTAGAGGCCATGATGGAGATGGCAAAGAGAACAAGGAAAAAGCAAGCCCAGGAAAATTATCCAGCATTTGTGGAGTGCTTTGTCTATGCATGATTTTATTCACTTTGGATCCAACATCTACGGAACTGTTTTGGGCCCAGGAGATTCCCATTAAGAAGTAAAAGAGCTGAAAATGACACGGTGAGTCTGTGATCCCAGAACCCTGTCACTGTCTCTGTGCTTCCTCAAACAGTCCTCATTCTACAAAGAGGAAAAATCTGTCCTCACAAGCATATTAGCTGACTTTCAGCTGCAGCACAGACAACAATCCCACGTGTTCAGAGCTGTCCCAGGACTTTACAGACATGGGACTCTTTGAAAGGCTGAAACTGCCTACCTAGGAAAGAGCTACAAATTTAACAGTGTAATCAGATTCTTATGGTCCAAAACATAAAATAAGTGGGAAAATCAGAGTGATGAGAGACAGCAAGAGAAGCTGACTTCAAATGAATGCTAAGAAGCCAGGTTTGTGGAGGTAGAATAGCAAGTGCATTCTACTGCGTGGGTGTGAAAGCTGGGATAGGGTCAGAGCGAGAACCTCTCCTAGCTGGCTGGGCCTCATAAGCCTCTTTGTGCAGCTCTATTTTTCAGTAGCGTTGCAGGTCAAATAAAGGCTACATAATCCTGGGGCTCCAAAGAGATGGTGGAGATGAAGGTTCCTTGTAAGGGGTCAATGTGGCAGTCCCTTCTTATCTGTGATTTTGCTTTTTGAGTTTCAGATATGAATAGTTAATACCGAAATGAAAATATTAAATAGAAAAATCACCGAAGGAAAATGAGTTTTCAGATAACCATAATCAACATCAGTGTAAAACATTAAATGGAAAATTTCAGAAATAAAATAATTCATATGTTTTAAATAACTTTTGTTACAGTATTGCTATAATTATTTTATTATTTGTTTTTTAGTATCTTACTATAACTAATTTATAAATTATGTGCTATCAGAGACATCTGTGCACAGGGAAAAATAATTAAGCATTGGCTCTCCCTGTCCACTGGTTCTGAAGCTATGGATTCAAAACAATGGTGGGTTAAAAATATTTTTGAAAATCTGTGTCTATACTAAATATGTGCAGACATGTTTTTTTCTCATTAGTCTCTAAACTAGAAATATAACTACTATTCACCTAGCACTTATGTCATACTAGGTATTAAAAGTTACTTAGAGTTTATTTAAAGTCTGTGGGAAGAGCTGGGGATATAGCTCAGCCTGCTAAAAGCACAAGGTTCTGAGTTCAATTCCAGGTGCCAAAAAAATAAATGAACGAATAAATAATTAAAGTCTCTATTGGAAGATGGTGCATAGTTACATGTAGTTACTACACCGTGTTTTATAATGGACTTCAGTGTCCACAGACAAAAGGATGACTGTAGACACAGGGTTTGGTATTCCGATGGTTTAGGCATTCAAGTGGTTTGTTGGGATATGTGCCTCAGGGACAAGGGGAGATTGATATACAAACGTGATATCAGAGATGATCACAGTTGTGATGACTTGTGGGAATATGACCAGGGAGGAAAGGTTGTCACAAAGGTTTAGAGGGTTGTCTCTGCAGCAGACCATGTAAACTTAGAATGCTCATCAATCACTGTAAGTTTTCAAAGAGACATGTATGGGGGATGATGAGGAAATTTTAAAAACTTAAAAAAAATACAGTAATAGACAAACTGCCACCAAATCCTTCAAAATATTCTCCTTCCCTTCAAACACACTTATCCTAATGTTCTTGCTACTCTCTTAAGAAGTTCTGAAAGTCCTCTCATGAGTGTCTTTACAAGTGTGTTTCATCCTAGTTTGTGAGTGTGTTTATCAGTGAATACAGTGAATAATGGTGCTGAGTGCCATCCAAAAGAAAGACAGGCTTGTAAAAACATCATGATATGTTCTTACTCACT